AGGGGAGGTCTTTAATGAATACTTTGCTTTAGAATTCACCAGTGAGAGGGACCTTGACGTTTGTGAGGACAGCATGAAACAGGCAGATATGCTCGAACAGGTTGACGTTAGGAAGGAGGATGTGCTAGAAATTTTGAAAAACATGAGGATAGATAAGTCCCCTGGGCCGGACGGGATATACTCAAGGTTACTATAGGAAGCGAGATAAGAGATTGCTGTCCCTTTAGCAATGATCTTTGCCACCTCACTGTCCACTGGAGTACCACCTGAAGATTGGAGGGTGGCAAATGTCATTCCTTTGTTCAAGAAAGGGAATAGGGATAATCCTAGAAATTACAGACTGGTCAGTCTTTCTTCTGTGGTGGGCAAATTATTGGAGAGGATTTTGAGATATGGTATTTATGATTATTTGGAAAAGCACAGTTTGATTAAAAATAGTCAACATGCCTTTGAGAGGGGCAGGCAATGCCTAACAAGCCTTATTGAATTCTTTGAGGATGTGTCAAAACACATCGATGAAGGTAGAGCAGTGGATGTGGTGTATATGGATTTTAGCAAGGCATTTGATAAGGTTCCACATGGTAGGCTCATTCAGAAAGTAAGGACGCATGGGATCCAGGGAAATTTGGCTGTCTGGATACAAAACTGGCTGTCCAATAGAAGACAGAGGGTGGTAGTAGATGGAAGGTATTCAGCCTGGAGCTTGGTGACCAGTGGTGTTCTGTAGGGATCTGTTCTGGGACCTCTGCTCTTTGTGGTCTTTATAAATGACTTGGATGAGGAAGTGGAAGGGTGGCTTAGTAAGTTTGCTGACGACACGAAGGTTGGAGGAGTTGTGGACGGCGTGGAGGGCTGTTGTAGGTTGCAACGGGACAGTGACAGGATGCAGAGCTGGGCAAAGAAGTAGCGGATGGAATTCAACCCAGGAAAGTGTGAAGTGATTCATTTTGGAAGGTCGAATTTGAATGCAGGATTAATGGCAGGGTTCTCGGCAGTGTGGAGGAACAGAGGGATCTTGGGGTCCATGTCCATAGATCCCTCAGAGTTGCTACCCAAGTTGATAGGGTTGTAAAGAAGGCGTATGGTGTGTTAGTTTTCATTGGCAGGGGAATTGAGTTTAAGAGACATGAGGTTATGCTGCAGCTCTATAAAACTCTGGTTAGACCACACTTGGAATATTGTGTTCAGTTCTGGTCACCTCATTATAGGAAAGATGTGGAAGCTTTAGAGAGGGTGCAGAGGAAATTTACCAGGATGCTGCCTGGACTGGAGGGCAGGTCATATGAGGAAAGGTTGAGGGAGCTAGGGCTTTTCTCATTGGAGTGAAGAAGGATGAGAGGTGACTTGATCGAGGTTTACAAGATGATGAGAGGCATGGATAGAGTGGATAGTCGGAGACTGTTTCCCAGGGCGGAATTATGAGGGGGCATAATTTTAAGGTGATTGGAGGAAAGTATAGGGGAGATGTCAGAGGTTGGTTCTTTACACAGAGAATGCGGGATGTGTGGAATACGCTGCTGGCAGTGGTAGTGGAGTCAGATACATTAGCGACTTTTAAGCAACTCTTGGATAGGCACATGGAGGACAGTAAGATGTAGGGTATGCAGAGTAGATTGATCTTAATAGGATAATAGGTCAGCACAACGTTGTGTGCCGAAGGGCCAGTACGGTGCTGTACTGTTCTATGTTCTATGTTCTAGTGTGGTAAAAATCCTCTGATTTTACATAGCATTTACATCCTTCCTTAAATAAGATGACTATTATTATGCACAGTACTGCAGATGTGGCATCACTGCCACCCTGTCTAATTGAAAATTAACATCCCTATTTTTATATTGAACTCCCCCCAAGGTAAATGAAAACATTCTATCAGCTTTTCTAATTCCTTGCTGTACCTGTGTACCATCCTTCTGTATTCGTGTGCAAGTTTACACAGATCCTTTTGCACCTTAATTTTAGGATGTTTACAATCTGTCATTATTTAGATAATATGCTTCCTTTTATTCTCCTAACCAAGGTGAATAATTTCCCTTCTTCCCACATTGTTCTCCACTAACTTGAACTTTTCCCTCTCACTTAACCAGCTATTCCTTATACACTAATATTCATACATTGAACAAGGTAGCAAAAGACTTTCTGAAGTTTTTATTCTAAATCTATATTTAGCATAAGCATCATAAGGCAAGCAGAGACAAGCATGGGAATTCCTAGAAGCCTGGTACTCCACTAAGAAAGCCGTCAATAAACACATAGAGCTTGACCCCATGTACACTCCATTGCGAAGGAAAACCGGAAGTGAGATAATCCAGCTCAACAGACACCAGAGTTTAAAGAACTGTTGGTGTGTGCATTCAAGCTTTTGTATCTTATGCCTGACGAAAGAGGTTGGAAGAGAGTATTACCAGGTTGGACTCCCCACACACGAGGTAAAGATATCCATGCTCCTCATGATTTTATAAACCTCCATAAAGACACTCCTTAGTTTCTGACTCTCCAGAGGAAAAAAAACCCAGCCTGTTCAACCTATATCTCAAACCCTCCAGTCCCAGTAACATCCTTGTAAATCCTTTCTGCACCCTCTCAAGTTTAACAACATCCTTCCTATAAAAACTGATCAGCCTTTTCAGTGCATATTGATGTTGATGGTTCTAAGACTAAATAATCAGCTCATACCATCAGTAATGTGTATGAAGTTAACAATATGGAAAGATGGTAATCTTTTAAAATTTGCCTTTTGCTTGGCTGCTTCTGAATGATATGTTTCGATTTGTGCACATTCTTGGTACTTTCCTTGCTGTTGTGGTGTTGTACTGTCTTGTTGGTCACCGTTGTTTTGTTCTGGGGTTTTGCTTAATCTTTGGAACTGGATTTCCTGCACATGCGTGCCCAGTTTGGGCAGCACAGTGGCTCAGTGCTTAGCACTGTTACCTCACAGCCCCAGGGTCCAGGTTTGACTCCACCGTTGAGTGACTGTTTGTATGGAGTTCACACCTTCTCCCTATCTCTGTGGTTTTCCTCTGGGTGCTTACGTTTCCTCCCTCCAGTCTAAAGATGTGCAGGTTAGATGGATTGGCCAAGCTAAATTGCCCCTAGTGTCCAGGGATGCACAGACTAGGTGGATGAGCCATGGTAAATTGCCCATAGTGTCTAGGGATGTGCAGGGAAGTGTGGGGTTACAGGGATAGTGTGGGGGGTGGGTCTGGGTGGGATGCTCTTCAGAGGGTCAGCACGGACTTGATGAGCTGAATACCCTGCTTCCACACTGTAGGGGATTCTGTGATTCTATGATAGTATCTCCTGATGCTACATGCTTTACAGATATTAAGAAAAGCTGGATGACTTTTGGGTAGTTGTGCAAATTGTGTGTGTCACGAGTTTTCTTGTTTTGGTCTGCTTTGCTAACTGTAGTAAAGTGTTGCTTGCACTTAAAATACTTAATTGCTGGCCTGCCACAATGGCTTCATACCTGTGTTCTTCATCTAGCAATGCGTCAATGGCATGGTCCTTCCTCTTGCCCAAAAAATCCTGCCTAAAGGCTTTAATTGAGGCAGTACCCACTTTGACCGTTTCTGTTTGGAAAAGTTACACTCACGCCCTTTGTTGCAACATCTTCCATTTAACTGGATAACAGACTTTTGGGATATATGATATGAGTTGGAGTCTTAATCCTGAAATTAATTCTTACCTTGACCTGGTCTTCAAGAACCTTCTAGATTTTTTTCTGGATGTTCCTATCATGTGTGGAAAGATCGATGTGCTAATTCAGTGAAGCCCCTCCTTGCTCATGGCACCACGTTAAGCCATGTGCCCCTGATTTTGTGTCAGTGTAAAACTGAAACTGGAACATCTTTAACAACAAAGACTTTGCAGCTTGCTGTCATGAGTAACAGTTTCTCATGTGTCGAGTGCCAGAAACAGTGTTCTGGTATTCTGGGATTCTGCGCTGCACTGCACTGGCCTAGTATTTCAGTTTAAGAGTGAATTTCAGCCTTATTTTATAAATAGCAGGACTGGAAATTTCTTTTATCTTGAAATAACTTGCATTCTAATCAAAACGAAATTAGCTATCCTCTTGGTGCTGAATGCCTTATTTTCAGATTTCTACAGCTGTGCTCACAGAAAATGAAGGGGGAGAGATTCTCCTTTTGTTCAATTTTTTGTTGGCCTTCAACCCGTTTCCACATATCACCAAAATATTGGAGTTTTTAAGACAGCTACTGCAGGTATCGTAGTGTGAGTATGCCTCTAATAAGTTGTTTTATGTAACTGGACCAGCCGCATAATTACTCAATACGAAGCAGGTGAAGGGCTGAATATTTTTCATTGAATAGCTCAATCCTGTCTCAAGCTTTCCCATCATTTACAAGGCATAAGTCAGAGGTCTGATGTAACAGCTTCCACTTGCCTGGATGGCTTCTGCTCCAATAACAATCAAGAAGGTCATCATTATCTGGGACAAAGGACCCCACTTAATTGGCACCCCACAAATCACTTTAAAGGTTCATTTTCTTCATCATTAGTGTATGATGGTTGCATTGTGCACTATTTACATGATTTCAACTACATTTATCACCTAGAAACGTGATGGTATTGGGCATGTGGAAAAACCAGCACCTGCAAGTTCCTCTTTAATCCACACACCATGCTGAAACAGAACTTGTTGGGAATCTGTATTCCTTCACTGCTTTTTGATTAATATCATGGGATTTCTCCCTTGGAACATATTGTAAAAAGACTACTCTGCGTGGACTGTAGAAGTACAAGAAAGCAGTTCCTTTTCACCTTCTCAAAGGCAATTAGGAATTGGAAAATATACTGGCTTTGCTAGCAATGCCCATATCCCATGTAAAAATACATTTAAAGAAAGGTCGATGGAGAATTAGCAGCCTGCTTTACATTCACTGAGTTATTTCTAAAATAAAAATAAACATCACATGAGGTGGAAGACATATTCATATGTAAAAACCATATTAAACATTTTTATGGTGCTGTTTTCATACCTGAACATCTGTGAGGGATCTAACGTCGCCAGCCAAAAACTGTAAGTATTTACATAATAGCTGCAAGTTCCCCGTCCATGACATTCAATAAAGGGGGCAACACGAAATTCTTCTAAACAGGAGCCAGGTGAAGCCAGTGCTTGGCCTGATCCCTCTGCACCTGAGCTTCTGTGCTGGATTTGAAGTGAAAAAAGAACATACGTTGGTTTTAAAAAAAAGCACTGAAGTTTGACTCAACTTTTGTCTGTATCCCCTTTCCTAACATGAATTCTCATGGTCACAATAATCCTCCATTGCTGTCTCTGACTTTTTGTGATAGTGAACGCTCACCGAATTCCATTGTCACTGTATTTCTCCAATTCTGAGCTCTTGAGTATCCTCAATTTTAATTGTTTTACCAAACTATCCAGCACTTAGACTGTAGCCTGCTGGCATTTTAATTGTTCATCCAGATGCTTCTTAAATATTGAGAGTACCTTGCCTCCACCACCCATTGGGCAGCATGTTCTGTATTTCTGCCACCCTCTGGGTGAATTTACTTTTCCCACAGATTCCCTTTAAACCACTTACTCCTTACCTTAAACTAATGTCCTCTGGTCTTAAACTCGTCTGCCATCGGGATAAGATCAGAAATCACATGAAACCACGTTATAGTCTCATCCATCCAAATCCAACATTGGCACCTCCTCATCACTGGGATGAGATTCTCACAAACTACCAAGTCATTGCCTCTAATTTTGTACAACTCAATCAGATTTCACCTCAGCCTCCTTTGATCAGTGGAAAACAAATTTAGTCTGTCCAGTCTTTCCTCGTAACTGAGACTTTTCATCCCAAGCAACATCCTGATGAACCTCCTCTGCACCCTCTCCAGTGCAATCATGTCTTCCGATAGGGTGGCGACCAGAACTGCACCCAGAATTCCATCTGTGGCCTAACCAATGTTTTATAAAGTTGTAACAAGACTTCCTTGCTCCTATACTCTACGCCCTGGCTAATGAAGAGCAAGCAGGCATATGTCTTCTTCACCAGCCCATCTAATTGTGCTGACATCTTCAGGGATCTATGGACTTGTGCACTAAGATTTCTTTGTTCCTCGGTACTTCCTGGGCACCTACCATTCATTGTGTATGTCCTTTTCTTATTAGACCTTCCAAAATGCATCACCTTGCTTTTATCAGATTCAAATTTCATCTGCCATTGCTGTGCCCAATTTACCAGCTGATCAATATCATACTGTAGCTGGAGACCATCCTCCTCACTATCAACAACACTACCAATCTTCTGTCATCTGTGGACTTACTAATTATATCTTCTATATTCGCATCCAAGATGTTAATGTACATAACAAACAGCAAGGGGCCCAGCATCGATCCCCGAGATCGACTGATGGTCACAGGCTTCCAATCAAAAAATCATCCTTCCACCATCAGTCTTTTCCTATTGTTTGCAAGCCACTTTTGTATCCAATTGGCTGTAACCTTTGGACTTGCCTTTCATGTGGGACCTTGTCAAAGGCCTACTGAAGTCCATGTAAACTCCATTAACTGCACTACCCTCCTCAATATATTTAATTATCTTTTCAAAAAAACTCAATTGAAGTAGACAGGATCTCCTTCTAACAAATCTGCTGATTATCCCTGATCAATCCCTGCCTTTCCAAGCATTGATTAATCCTGTCCCTCAAGTTTATTTCTGATATCTTCCTCACATTGCTTTAAGTTGCTCCTTAAAATCTACACCTTTAACCAAAGTCTTGCTTATGTGCCCTATTACCTTCCTTCGAGGCTGTCAAAATTTCTATGTTGTAATTTCTCTGTGAAGGTCTTAGGATTACTTGCAGTAAAGGCACTGTATAAAAATACAAGCTGTTGTTTGTGTACATACCATTACAAAGGAATAGCCTATCCACAAGGACTTCCAACCCCTTGGGCATGGTGGGATCTGAACAGTTTGACTATGCACAGCTAAGACCGTTGCAGGACTTTCACAAACAATACATCTGGATAACAAGACATATGTACTGTTAGCATGGACATTTGTAATACATATGTGGTCCACACTGAATTCAAAGTCATTTAACTCATTCAGATTAAGATAATTTATTTAGCAGCAAATTCTTCAAGTGTTTACATCATTGAAATTATTGGACAATCCAATTGTTTTACTGTGAAATTTCTCAGTGGGCTGGACTAATTATGGTATGAATATTGTAAAAGCCAAAAATTCACATTTTAAAAATCCATTCATGGGATGAGAGCATCGCTGGCTAGGCCACTATTTATTGTTCATCCCTAATTACCCAGAGGGCAGTTAAGAGTCAACCACATTGCAGTGGGTCTGGAGTCACATGTAGGCAGGATCAGGTAAGGATGGCAGTTTCCTTCCCCCCACCAAAGGACATAAATGAACTGGATAGATTTTACTGACAATTGACAATGGTCATCATTAGACTCTTAATTTCAGATTTTTATTGAATTGAAATTCCATCTTCTGCCATGGCGGGATTTGAACCCGGGTACCCACAATATTACTTGGGTATCTGGATTAGCAGTCCAGCTGCCACCTTCCCTTGAATTAACAATCTACTGAGAAATAAATGTCTTCTTTGTAAAGGTTTAATTTTGTGGTCATTAAGGTGAAAGACATTGGGAAGTGCAATTGAGTGTAATATTTTCTTTACTCCACGTTTAGACATGCAGATTCCAATAGGAGTCACTGGTTAATGGTTTGGAGTCAGAATGGTGATTAATTTCTTGTGGTCAACCTGGGATCCAAATCCCAATAATGGAAGACTGATTGTTGCTCTGGGAACATCAGAACAGAAATAGACCATTTATCACCTCGGCCTAGTCTACCATGATATCATGGCTGATCTTCACCCTAGCTCCACCCTTACTCACCTTGGCCTCATGCCCCTTAATGATTTTGAATCATGAAAATCTATCTATTTAAGATTAAAAATTTACAATTGGTTGAGCAGCGATTGTTATTTGTAGAAGATAGTTCCAAACTTCTTCTTCCTTTCATGTATAGAAGTGTCTCCTAACTTCACTCCTAAAAGAGTCTAGTTCTAATCTTTGGGCTAATCTTTGAGACAACCCAACCAGCAGAAATTGTTTGTCTTTATTTATCCTGTTTCCCTTTAAACCTTTTAAAATTTTATTCAAATCATTCTTCTAAATTCCAAGTCATAGATATTCCTGCTAACCAACACTTAAAGTCCAAGTATAATTCTATTAAACTTACACTCTACTCTTTCTGAGACCAATGTATACTTTCTAAGGTGTGGTGCCCAGAACTGCTCACACTACATGAGGTGTGTTCTAATCAGGTTTTTGTATAATGTAAAAAGTGTATAATTTTCTTTTTTTCTTGGATTGTGGAATGAAAAGGGGAAAGGACAGTTTTAAAACCAAGGACTGGAAAGAATTCCTGCCCTTGTTTTAAAAAAAAGTTACTTGAATTCATTTGTGTTTGTGTTTACATTGCAGCTTTGCAGGCAGTGAAGGAGGTGAGATAAGACGGAATGGCACTAGAGTGTATATTCAGGGTGAGATTCAGCTGGCAACAGGTGGCCGATTGGTTTGTGAAATTGTGATCAGTTGTGGATCCCAAAGGTTATCAGCCTGATGACAATTTTCTGATTCTTGAGCAACTGATCAGCTTGTGGTTGTAAATGATATGGTACTGCTTAAAGAGCAAGTTCTATGTCTCCAGCTCTCGGAGGTAAAAGTACCTGAAGCTTGAAGAAAATTAATAATTTTTCTCACCAATTGTTGTAAGTGGTTGCCTTTGGCTAGTAACTAAGAGACTTTGTAATTAGTGTACCAATTGCTCTGTGCCTCCTGCAAAGAAGTAAAAACCTTGGAGTAAGGGGATCAAAGAACAGAAGCTGTTAGGGAACAAAAAGGGCAACTTATCAAACCCAGTGGACTAGTGCTATTGAATTGTATTTCCTCCACCCATTACACTAATTTTTGTTTTGTTTGCCTGTCTCTATATGTGTTTGCAAGGGTTTAAAATGGTGTCCTGTCACCAAGTCACCCTTTGTTTACATGTGTATTGTACTTGACACTGGTCCTACTTCTTAAATCCAGCTGTCAGAGTGGACAGAATCTCTGACACTCCTGTTTATATTTGTCAGCCAGAGATGTTGGCCAGAGATCAGAATGGTTTGTTGAAGTGGCAGGCAACTGGAAGGTCAAGGTCTTTTTTGTGGACAGAATACATTACCCTGTTGCCTGGCCAACATCTCTGTCTCAGGCTTGCTGCAGTGCTCCAGTTAAACTCAGCACAAGGTAGAAGAACAGCACCTCATCTTCTGCTTGGGAACACTGTAGCATTCTGGACTCAATATTGAGTTCAACGATTTTAGGACTTGAGCTCTCCCACGGCCTTATCCCAAACCCCACCCACCAGTCCGTGTTTTTTTTTCTTTATTTACTCCCGGGATGAGGGCGTCACTGTTATTACATAGTCTGCTATTACACAAAATCCATTGTTCCCACTAACAGTCCCTATTAAAAATTAATAATAACTAATAATCTGACCCCACAACGAAGGATATATTTCCCTTCCCACCCCTATCTGCCTTCCGTAGGGACTGTTGTCTCCGCGACTCCCTCGTCCGCTCCACACTGCCCACTAGCCCCACTACTCCCGGCACCTTTCCCTGCAACCACAGGAAGTGCTATGTCTGCCCCTACACCTCCCCCCTCGCCTCCATCCCAGGCCCCAAAAAAACCTCCCACATCAGACAGATGTTCACCCACACATCCGCTAATGTGGTCTGTTGCATGCACTGTTCCCGATGTGGCCCCCTGTACATCAGTGAGACCAAGCGATTCCAAGGGCTTCCATTATGTGGATAATTGGAGCACATTCTGGGGAAGGTGGGACCTGTACAGTAAGGACGGGTTGCACCTGAACCGGAAGGGCACAAATATTGCTCGAGCTAAAGGGACGGTTTAAACTAGATTGGCAGGGGGTGGGGATTCAGAGGATGAGGTATTCAGCCTTCCATCAGACACAACAGGGAGTGAGGTTGTTAATAAAGAAATGCGGTCAATGGAGCATAATTGTGGACACAGGGATGGTTTACAGTGTGTATACTTCAATGCTAGAAGTATCAGAAATAAAGCAGATGAACTTAGAGCACGGGTCAGTACTTGGAACTACGATGTTGTGGCCATTACAGAAACTTGGGTAACTCAGGGACAGGAATGGTTGTTGGAAGTTCTGGGATTTAGATGCTGTAAAAGAAATAGGGAGGATGGTAAAAGAGGCGGTGGAGTGGCATTGCTAGTCAGGGCTAGTATAGCAGCTACTAAAAGGCAGTTCGAGAGTGATATGTCTACAGAGTCAGTTTGGGTTGAGGTCCAGAACAAGAAAGGAGCAGTCACTTTGTTGGGGTTTTTTTTCCAGACCCCCTAATAGTTGCAGAGAAGTGGAGGAGCGGATTGGGAGGCAGATACTGGAAAGGTGCAAAGTCACAGGGTTGTAGTCGTGGATGACTTAAACTTTTCAAATATTGATTGGAAACTTTTTAGTTGTAATAGTTTAGATGGAGCGGATTTTGTCCAGTGCGTTCAGGAAGGATTCCTGACACAGTATGTAAATAGACCAACACGAGGTGAGGCCACTTTGGATTTGGTGCTTGGCAATGAACCGGGCCAAGTGTTAGACCTGTTGGTAGGAGAGTATTTTGGCGGTAGCGATCATAACTCTGTTACTTTTACAATAGTCATGGAAAAGGATAGGTACATACAGCAGGGTAAGGTTTATAATTGGGGGAAGGGTAATTATAATTCTGTTAGGCAAGAACTGGGTAACATAAAATGGGAACAGATGCTGTCAGGGAAGAGCACTATTGAAATGTGGAGATTGTTTAAGGAATGCATACTGTGTGTGCTCGCTTTGTTTGTCCCTAGCAGGCAGGCAAGATGTGGTCGATTGAGGGAGCCTTGGTTCTCAAGAGAGGTCGAACGACTGGTTAAGAGGAAGAAGGATGCTTACATAAGGTTTAGGAAACAAGGATCGGATAAGGCTCTAGAGGGTTACAAGTTAGCCAGGAAGGAGCTGAAGAAAGGGCTTAGGAGAGCTATAAGGGGGCATGAGAAAACCTTGGCAGATAGGATCAAGGAAAACCCCAAGGCTTTTTACACGTATGTGAGGAATAAGAGAATGACCAGAGAAAGGGTAGGGCCGATCAAAGATTGTAAAGGGAATTTGTGCACGGAGCCTGAAGAGATAGGAAAGATCCTTAATGAATACTTTTCTTCGGTATTCACAACTGAGAGGGACCTAGTTGTAGAGGAGGACAGTGTGAAACAGGCTGGTAGGCTAGAGGAGGTGGATGTTAGTAAGGAAGATGTACTAGGAATTTTGAGGAACTTGAAGATAGATAAGTTCCCCTGGCCTGATGGGATTTATCCAAGGATTCTATGGGAAGCGAGGGAAGAGATCGCAGGGCCTTTGGCAATGATCTTTTCGTCCTCACAGTCCACGGGTATAGTGCCGGAAGATTGGAGAGAGCAAACATCATTCCCTTGTTCAAAGAAGGGAATAGGGCTAACCCCGGAAATTACAGGCCAGTTAGTCTTACTTCAGTGGTGGCAAAATTATTGGAAAGGGCTCTGAAAGAGAGGATTTATGACCATTTGGATAGGCACAGTTTGATTCGAGATAGTCAGCATGGATTTGTGAGGGGTAGATCATGCCTCACAAACCTTTTTGAATTCTTTGAAGAGGTGACCAAACACGTGGATGAAGCTAGAGCAGTGGATGTGGTATACATGGATTTAAGTAAGGTGTTTGATAAGGTTCCCCATGGTAGGCTCATGCAGAAAGTAAGGAGGCATGGGATCAGGGCAAATGTGGCAGATTGGATTCAGAATTGGCTGACCTTTAGAAGACAAAGGGTGGTAGTGGACGGAAAATATTCAACATGGTGCTCAGTTATGAGTGGTGTATCACAAGGATCTGTTCTGGGTCCTCTTCTATTTGTGATTTTTGCAAATAATTTTGTAGGAGTGGAAGGGTGAATTAGTAAGTTCGCGGATGATACGAAGGTGGGTCAAGTTGTGGATAGTGTGGAGGGCTGTTCTAGGTTATAAAGGGACATTGATAGGATGCAGAGCTGGGCTGAGAAGCGGCAGAAGGAGTTTAACCCTGAAAAGTGTGAGGTGATTCAGTTTGGAAGGACAAACTGGGAAGCAGAATACAGGGTTCAGGGAAGGATTCTTGGCAGTGTGGAGGAGCAGAGGGATCTTGGGGGTTCATGTCCACAGTTCTCTGAAAGCTGCCACCCAGGTGGATAGAGTTGTTAAGAAGGCATATGATGTGTTAGCTTTCATTAATAGAGGGATTGAGTTCAAGAGTCGTGAAGTTATGCCCCAGCTATACAAAAGCCTGGTTCATCCACATCTGGAGAATTGTGTCCAGTCCTGGTCGCCTCATTACAGGAAGGATGTGGAAGCGTTGGAAAAGGTGCAGAGGAGATTTACCAGGATGTTGCCTGGAATGGAGGGAAGGTCTTACAAGGAAAGGTTGAGTGGGAAAGGATGAGAGGTGACTTGATAGAGGTGTACAAAATGATCAGAGGTATCGATAGAGTGGCCAGCCAGAGACTTTTTCCTAGGGTGGAGGTAGCTATTATGAGGGGGCATAGTTTTAAAGTGAGTGCAGGTAGATGTAGGGGAGACGTCAGAGGTTAGGTCCTTTACTCAGAGTGGTAGGGGCATGGAATGCATTGCTGGAGAGGGTAGTGGAGTCGACCTCATTCGGGGCATTTAAGCAGCTATTAGATAGGCATATGGATATAGTATAAGGTAGGGGTGGAGGTTAGATAGACCTTAGGTTTAGGGTAAAAGTTTAGCACAACATCGTGGGCCGAAGGGCCTGTACTATGCTGTACTGTTCTATGTTCTAAGTGGAGGCTTGGAGACCACTTTGTAGAACACCTGCACTCAGTTCACGACAAACGACAACACCTCCCACTCCTTGGACGACATATCCATCCTGGACCTCCTCCAGTGTCACAATGATGCCACCCGGAAACTGGAGGAGTAGCACCTCATATTCCCCCTTGGGAGCCTACAATCCAGTGGTCTCAATGTGGACTTTACTAGCGTCAAAATCTTCCCACCCCAGCCTCATCCCATGGCCAACCCTCCCTGTCATCCCCGCCTCCTTGACCTGTCTGTCTTCTCTCCCACCTATCCGCTCCTCCTACCTCACTGACCAATCTCCATTACTGCCTACCTGTACTCACCTACCACCATCCCACCTACCTTCCCCAACCCCGCCCCTCCTCTCTATTTATTTCAGATCCCCCTTCCCCTTCCCCCATTTCTGACAAGGGTCCCGACCCGAAACGTCAGCCTTTCTGCTCCTCTGATGCTGCCTGGCCTGCTGTGTTCCTCCAGCTCCACACTTTGTTATCCCTATTAATAGCAATTCACCCACCTAACCGGTTTCCTATCTACTCCTTTGTCTGTCCAATTGTTCTTCTGTCGCTTTCGGCTCTATCCCCACCTATCTTTTACTCCTTACCACTGCCCCCCCACCCAATCTTCTGCATATAAACTGACATTTTCCTAGCTACCATCAGTTCTGAGTCACTGGACCTGAAACATTAACTCTGACTTCTTTCCACAGATGTTGTCAGACCTGCTAAGATTTTTCAGCAGTTTTTACTTTTGTTTCTGATTTACAGTACCTGCAGTTCTTTTGGTTTTTAATTGAGATTTCTATTCAATCATCTAAGTTGTTCATAAGTATGATTGTGATGTATAATTGAGGCTCCAACAGTTTCATGGTATCACAATGTACACCAACGACCTGATCATCTAACTCAATGCAGGGATTGAATATGGAACTATCCTAATCTATAAGGATGTGTTGTTTGCTAAGCTTGGGCTCTTTCAAATTCTGGAGAGGTGTACATAGACAGTTTAATGAAGGCACTAAAACAGAAGTTGCTGGAAAAGCTCAGCAGGTCTGGCAGCATCTGTGAAGAGAAAAATCAGAGTTAATGTTTCGGGTCCGGTGACCCTTCCTCAGA